CTTCACAATTGTATACCACTTTGTGTTGGTCTTTCACATTAAATTCCAGTGAAATATATTTATGTTTGTGGTTGTAATGTGACAAAATGTGGAAAAGTTCAAGGGGTATGAATACTTTTGCAAACCACTGTATTTTGCTAACAATAAGATGAGCCTAAAGAATCCACCCACCTGCCTAAACATTTAGTAGGCTGACCCACAATGTTATGGGATACCAAGTGTAAAATGAAATGTTAAAAGAATTTCACTAACGTATTTTTCATTATTTAGCTCACTTGTGAGTGTTTAATTTTCCCACTAACATTTTATTATTTAGCTCACTGTTCTTACATTTAGCTCATTTTTACTAAATGTTAAATTTAAATATTAAATCTGAAATCTAAATGCTTAAACCTAAATGTAATTGTTAAACCTTAAATTTTGAAGCTTACATTTTAAGTATGTTAAAATGGAACGCAGCCTTTGCTGTTGGTGCTCGGCTCATGGTATGACATCATCATCCTGAGACAATAACAACCGTTAGCGCTCCAATGCAGCTAAAGCTTCCCTACAAAACATCAAACTTTTGCAGTTATGGCTGGTGTCTGAGCTACACTTCAAACTGCTGGACCACAGGTACCATATTGTTTTTTTTTTATTTAGATTTTAAATATTATCTTTAGCAGTGTTAGAAGCATTAGAAGAAGTTAGCATGAAATAGCCATGATGATGTCATCATCCTGCAGCAAATATCAACAATGGCCACTCCTAACACTGCTGAAGATAATATTTAAAATTAGGAACAACGAGCGAAAAAACAATAAAATGTTAGTGGAAAATTTTTAACACTCAAAAAGTGAGCTAAATAATGAAAAAAATATGTTAGTGACATTTTTTAACATTTCATTTTACACCTGGCGCCTCATACACAGTCAGGTGGAACTGTTACACAGATAAACAGTTGATACACCAGGGCAACATACAGGTTGGAAAAATAACGTCATTTGTTTGACAAGTGCTACATTTTTGTCACAAAAAAATGAACTCATGTTGGATTTGCATCTCATTTTCATTTTTAAATGTCACATTCTCAGCAGTTCTCTCCCGGAGCTCCTCCAGATGAAGATTTCCTCGTCGTAAACACCCCACTTCATCCTCTGAGCCCACTCTGTTCTCATCACACGCTCCTTCATGAATTTAATGTTCCACTTAAAACTGAGTGTCTAATTGCTGACTTAAAAGCTGTTATTGAAGTAGTTTATTTTCTTTTTCTTTTTTTTCCTGTTGCCCAGATTGACATTTTATCGCGTTACACCGGTTAGGTTGAGAAGCTTAGAGCA